CGACCTCACCAAATTCCGGGTGAGTTTTTGAATTAAAATGGAGTTATTGGGGTTTTCGCATTATCGGGGCTCCCTTGACACTTACGGCGCGACACTTGCGGCCGACACTTGCGGCGCGGTCATTTGCGGCGGGCGCGAAACTTGCGGCGCGACACTTGCGCCCGACACTTGCGGCGCAGCATTTATTATTTTTAAATGTTGTAAATTTAGCATTTCTTCACGGATTTTGTTTGTAATTGTTAGATTTTTGTTCAAAATTAGCAATTTAACCGACCCGCAGGCGGAACCCCCCTGAGGGCGTCAGGCAAGATGGGCCGTCGCTTCGGATGGGCTGCCGCTCCACTCTTTCTAAATCGGGGCGCCTGGGCGCTTCGCGCTCCTCGGGCGCCCCGATTTAGAAACCCTGTACGAGCTCGCACCCATCCGAAGCGACTAGGCCCCGGGTGGCACGAAGCCTTTTTTTAGTCACAGAGCGGAGGAAGTAGCGGCCACTTTCCCTCCAAATTGAACGACTTCGGTCGCAAACCCGACTTTTTATAAGTTTTGAATACTAAATTCGGATGCAACTTATCAAATAACACCTTAAACCATTTTTATATAGTTTATACTAAATAACCGCAAGGGCGCGCCGCAAGTGTCGGGCGCAAGTGTCGGGCGCAAGTGTCGGGCGCAAGTGTCGCGCCGCAAGTGTCCGCGCCGCAAGTGTCGCGGTACCATCGGGGGTGGAAATTTGGGACAACGTTGAGAACTTGAATTTTTGACCCAAAAAATTGGCCATTTTGTTCGAAAAGTCGGCCTTTTGTTATTTTATATTTTTTAAATTAAAAACAGGCCTATTTTGATATTTATTTTACTGATTAAATTTTGTAAAGTTTTTGCGTTTTTAGGAATATTAAAAAACTCTAGAAACCGGTTTCCATTAGAAAAAGCGGATCTTATGCACGATTTTTTATTTTTTAGGATTTATACAATTGTTTTTTTTCAGCAAAGCGGCGCCAGCGGCGACACGACAATGATGCCCTGATCCCTCCGCCACACAACTTCATCGATTCCACCCCTTGTTTCGCCCCGTTGATACAAGATCTCAAAAGTTAATTTGCCGACCTCCACCAGTTTTACCATTCTTCTTACACTGTTCCCTGTTATTTCTCATTCTTGTACCCCACATTGCCTCCTCTTACAAATGTCAAAAGCCCCGGCCCACCCAGTCACTATTGCCTTTAAAGTTTGTGTGAAGTTTTGTGTGTTGCTCCACAGGTGTGATTATGGCTGGCGAATCTCTTAACTAAGCTAGCAAACGTTGTGCCAGCACCGGAATCACCGAATCCCCAATTATCACTTGATATACAGTAGGCCACTACTTTGACGATGCCAACACACATATTGAAACACTTACAGATACACACACACAGCTATCCCTTCGCCTCATTTATGCGTACATGATCTGATAATCGGTAGCTTGTGCACCTAGCCCATTTGAAGAATACTAAATTGTTCCAGTTGTAGCAAGGAGTGGAAAAGCGTTGGATTCAGTTTTTGGCTGGATGAACGGTCTATCGAGGAATTTGTATGGTTTTGAAGAGATTAAGAAGTTTTAAAGAGTTTCTTTTTTTTTGTAGAGCTCTTGAGCTAGTGTAAAGTTTATCGTTTTTGTAGAGCTTTTAAGCGATTGTAAAGCTTTTAGCGTTTTTTTGGTGTAAAGTTTTTAGCTATTGCAAAAAGTTTTTCGTATTTTGTACTTTTTATTCTGTTAAAACCAAAAACTGCTCACGGCTCGTCAAAGCGCACTTTAGTACGGGGCGCGCCTTTTGCCACTGGTCCTGTGCTGCGCGGCCGCCCATATTAGAAAAAGCAAAGTTTGTAGTTTTCTTGCCATAACTTTTTTGGCATGATTTCGAAAATTTGGGAGGCTTGACGAATCGATGGAGAAAAAAATTCTCTATCGAACGGTGACGGTTGCATAGGGCGTTCTCAAGGAAATAAGGAGTTATTCGAGCCTAAAGTTTCACAAATTTCCAAAACAGTGGTTTTACAACGAGCTTTTCGTCCTCTAGGCATAAGATACCGTCAATAAGTTGCTAATGAGTTACGCGAAGTACAAATGTACTATTCTGACTCAAATATCAAAGCTTTTGGAAAGCTAAAGTAATTTTCCTAAACGATAATATGGAGCCTTGAATAATCGGCTTTATAAGGCCATTTTCTATATAATTTTGTCAAATTAGAGAGCGTGAATCGAGAATTACTAAATTATCATGTGTCGATTCTGGAAATGAGTTCAAACGGCAAGTTTTTTGAAAAAGAGGCGTCAGCCTCGTAAGAACTGTCCTAATCTACTAAAGTAAAGGCCCCAACTGGGAATACATCTCAAGATTTAGTAAAAAATTGATCCGCCGCCTTCAAAAACTGATTTTATAGCGAATCCGCGACTGTTTTGAGCTCCTTTCCGGCAGAAATCCTTCTAGCCGCGATTTTCCGAATTTTAACGGTAAATCGCTAGTTTGGTTTGGCTTACTGCCTCCCAGAGTCTTTGTGATACTATTGGAGCAAAAAGCAAAAGAATTTCATGAAAATTGAGGGATTTGTACCCGAGAGGAATCGAACCCGGGGGGTACGGGGGGCTCGCCTGGGGAGTTAACCCACTATCCGCGGGGAGAGAGCCGCCGCCCCCCAAAGTGCGTTTTTGGTAAGGGCTGACGAGCCGTGTGCTGCCAAAAACTCTGTGTAAAAATAGCACCTGCGATTTCGGCAATTTCCCTTTGCTTCTTCGTCGTAAAGCTTCTAATCCCTATTACCTGATTCAGATGAGCAGCTACTGGTTCAAGAACTTTTGCGGGCTGCCCGTGACTGACTTTGAGCTGTTGAAGGTAAAATCTTTCTGGATAGCAATCCTCAATTTCTAGGTCCCTCATCCCGGCGCCGAGTTCTCCATTCATGTGACTTTGCGCAGTATTCAGGTAGAAAATTAGTCTTTTTAACGCCTAGAGCTTTTTACAGAACCGTAGCTTCTAGCTACCGTTTATTATCATCTATTAACCGATATTTTAGACCGGTGCCCTGCTCGGCTCGATCCTGGGCCCACTCTCCACGGCGCTCTTCGCCAACACGGATCGCCGATTCGACCTGCGGACCGTGAAGTCGCAATTCGTTTCCGGTGGAATGCAAGGTAGCGCATTTTAAAAATACAATTAATTTTTGGTTCCAGGCGCGCTGATCGGGGCCGTGCTGGGCCCGTGCATCACGTGGTACTCAATTCGAAACATGAGTACCGTGGCGCTGTATGATAAATGCTACAAGTTGAGGTGTGTTTTTTACTAAATCGCGTCGGTTTTGCGCATTACTTCATGGATTGAAGGGTGTTTTCGTTTTAGCCGGGTGGGAAAAGTAACTTTTCCGATAGCGCTGCGGAGGCGAAATATTTAGATTTTGGCTTTTTTTATTTTTACGCTGTTTTTAATAGAAACTCTTGGTATGTGATTGTAAAAGTAGAAAATGTTATTTTTCATCGAAAATTAGGAAAATGACGTAATTGATGGAAAAAACTTAGAGCTTTAGATATCTGAGAAAGTTTTAATACAATTTCTAACGATCAGCAGCAGCGGCTAAAAACACTATAAAACGTTTGGAGATCTACCAGAGCTTTTACTTTTACAACTTCATCGGATAAATTTTTATTTTTGCAGATTCGACAACCAACAGCTCTGGCTCGACCGGACAACCGTGATTTCGGGCGCTGTCGGAGCGCTGTCGAACGGAAGTCTCGGCTTCATCGTCGGCCTCGACCTCGCCCTCGTCATGAGCAACCTGATGGGCCGTGCCTGGTGATTTCGGCGTAGTTTTTCTACTAGTAGTTTCTCCTAACGTTTACCCATGTCTCGCCCCGTCATTAGCATTCACTTTTTTACGGTCCTCTTCCCATTTTTGTATAACTTTCACCACGTTGCCCGATGTACAGCCCCCGCCTTTTTTGACTAGTACGTAGCTTGCCATAACGCAGTATATACGGTGCCTTTGTCTAGGATATTTGATGAATCGAATAAAGCATATTTTCTATGAAATCGGTATATTGTTGTTGTTTCCTGTTTATTATTGCGTTTCCAGGAGAAAAAGTAATATTTTTAGCAATACTATAAAAAGGAAAAGTGGTGTTAGGATTTTGAGAACCTCCAAATTTCATTCTGCCAAGCCTCATTTTGCCAAATATACATGCGCCGGTTCGTTTCTGAAAAATCGGTCCTTTCGCATTACCGGGGGGGGGGGCTGAACTTTGTTGTAACAGTCTAGAAATGGGTGTAAAGGGTTTTAATAGTGATTAATATGTTTTTAGCAATTAGATATAGCAATATTGCAACTCAAAGCCCTCTAAAGCTTTAAAAATGCTGGAAAAAGCGAAGTTTGTCAAAAAAGCAATTTTTGATAGAAAAAAAAATATATTTTTGTATTTTTTAAACAAAATCAGGGCTGGTACCAAATCGAAAAATACCCCGAGTTTAGGGGGGCTATAGATGTTTCATAGCCCTTATGAAAAAAACACAAACAAAAAACAATGAAAAATGGATCCTTAGAAAAACTTTCCCGCCCCCCGATAATGCGAAAGGAACGAAAAATGAATTTAAATTCGGCAAAAGGAATTTTCGGCAAGATGAAATTACGGCTAAACAAATCGAGCTAAAAAACTCGACTCGAGTCAAAGTTGTGGGTGGTGGTGCAATGTTCCCCGGTTGGACATGCGAAATGCGGGGTTGTATCTGTTCAGCTGCAAGTCGACTGGCTGACCCGGGCCCCGCCCGAATTTTTTTATTTACCAAAAACGGCGGTGGACTCTTTTCGTACGCCCTCCCACGTAGATGACGAGCAAAAAATGAGGGTAGGGGCGTGTAATGTTGAAGTCACCGGCCGGCTTGTACCGACCCCTAATTCGGACTATTTGGACAGCGGGGAGGCACCGGATATTCGACGAGATGGTATAAATATTCGCGAGGTGAAGCTTGAACATCATCAATTGAAGCCGTTCAGCCATTCAAACTTGCCCAACTCTACGAAAATGATGAAGCTGGCTGTTGCGTCGCTTTCCGGTTGGATTTTGAGTTTTTTTTTTGCGGGTTATCGGGCTGAGATTCGGGAGTTTAAAGGTGTTTAAAGGGACACGCAATGTAAGAGTATGGATTTTCCGTCCTTGCGTTCTGAATAGGTTTTTTTTTGGCTCGGCCGCGATACACGACCTGCAATCTTGATTTTGCCCTTGCGTAACGAGCGCTTCAACAAGGTCACGCGGCGTGCGCGCTGGGTGTCGCGGCGCGGCGCGGTAGGATACCTCACAAATCCCGGGGCATCCCCTTGCTTGTCCCTTTAAATTATCTATTCTGCTTGTTTGATTCGGAGCTCTGTGACGAAATTATGACGAAATGTTTTACGAAGACTTCAAGAAAATGTGCGTGTTGCGTATCACGTGCTTAGACGGGACGGGTAGCCAAAAAAACCCCACAGGCATCGTTGTCCCGGCTTTGAAAATGTAGTAATCATTTAGTTTGATTAGAAAGATGTCGGGTGTTTTAAAAAGCAAATTTTCTATTTTTTATAACGCAAATTTTCCAGTTCTCCTCTTCGCTCAGGCGTGCGTCGACAACTCGGCCAAGTAAGCGGTTTCTAGAATCAAATACGATTCCTCAAAGGTCCCTGCTAATTACCCGATTTTTCAGCTGCGCCAGCTGGACGTCCAACGGTTTCTGCAGCAGCACATTCTACACGACCGCTTACAAGACGCAGTACTGCCCGGCGAGCTGTAAGCGAAATTTCCTGGTTTTGGAACGTGAGATTTCTAGGTGGTCTCTGCTCACTGGTTTCCACAACTGCGTCGACGACTGGATGCCGGAATACGAATTCTAAGTAAGGACATTTTGTCTCTAGCTTGCGCGCTCTCGCTCTCTGTCTGTCTCTCTCTCTCTCTCTCTCTCTCCCCCTCTCTCTCTCGATCGCTCACCCTCTGGCTTTCAAAGAAAACTGTTCCAGCTGCGCCTCGTGGGTGTCCAACGGTTTCTGCACCAGCACCGCCTATACGGCTGCCCAGGTATGAAAAAATAAAAACCTAAAAAATGCGAAAATAAAAACTTTACATTGCAAAAAGTTAGAGATCTTTGTAAAAGAATTTTTAAATTATTTTCAACTAATTTAGAAAGCCGCCTATTGCCCGGTGAGCTGCGGACTGTGCGTCTCCACGACGGCTGGTGGGTTTTGGGACTAGAAAAATCTGCGAGCAAAAACACCGTTATTAAACCTCAATTTCTTACTTTAAAAGCCAACAATAAGCAACCTTTTTAGCTTCAACCGCCACGACAAAAACGAGCACCACTGGCTCGACGGCCACCACCAAGACCAGCACCTCTGCCACCACAAAGACCAGCACGGCCAGCAGCACCTCGTCCTAAATCACTTCAAAACTGATTCCTAATATTTTTGCTTTAATGAATATGTATTTAATAACTATTATGAAACGAGATATTTGCCATACACACCCCGCTGGCCAAAGAAAGCAAGATTCCTATAGATTTTAAAGGGCTTGTTATGACAAAAAAAAGTACGAAACCCGAATTTCTTGCCTAATTGCAACTTCTAAACTCTCTGAAAACTTTAAAACACACCAGACGCTGTAATCGCAAAATTGAATCATGGGTTGCTACCTTTTTATATGAATTTCGGAAGCATAGCGGAGCAACAACTGAAATTTATTATTTTATGGCAAGTTTTAACCCCTCAAAACATTAACATACGCCAAACGCTATAAGTAGAAGATTTAATAACGGTCTCCTATCTTTTTATATAAATTGCGAAATGTTCACGATGCCAAAATGCCTAAAAAGCATGATGTTCGCTCTGCGTCCCCGAAACGCGCGCCACCTGGGCCCACCCGGGGGACGGGGGTATAAAAGAGACCGGGCCTCCCAATTTTCTCTCGCGTGGCGGGAAGATGGCTTCGAGGGGTTGACCCACAGGTCCTTTGTGGCCTTACAGTACCCCGGGAAGGTCTGAGCGAGTCCAAACCTCCCTAAAAGGTGGTCCCCTGAGAGGGGGCGGGCTCAATGGCCCGGGGCCCGAACAGGAAAACGTGCCCGTCGAAAGACGGTTGGGAATCGGGTCTGACCAGCTGAAGCTGAGTGCGATAGCCATGTCAACCAGATAACACAATTCAGACTATTCTCTCGCCACGCAACCCCAAAATTTTTTTGGGTTTTTTTGGGTATAAAGTGGTTCAGAAAGCCGGTGGTATTCAAAGAATTTCAGAGGAGAATATCGACAGCCATATTCAGGGACGTAGCGTAATACAGGCCCCGGGGGCCCGGGGCCCCCCCCGAAATCGGCCGGGGCCCGAAAATTTCATAAGGGGGGACCCTTATGATTTTTATTTTCTCAGAAATTTTGCTGCCTGCGGCGCTATTTTTTCACGTTTTTACGGCTATTTGTAGAGCTATGTGACCTGGTTTTCAAAAATTTTTGCCTGCGGCGCTGTTTTTTTCCGCGATGTTTTGAGTTTTTTGGAAAAATTTTTTCGGGGCCCCCCCCCGAAATTTTTTTTCTGGCTACGCCCCTGGCCATATTCTTGGCACGTTTTGCCGATCTGACGAACAGTCTGACCCTTGCTGCCTTTTAAACGGCGATTTTACTTGTCGGAATTTTGGCCAGTAGCTATTCTGACGTGCGTATTTGGGTTGGAGGCGGGATTTTTTGGTAATTTTCGGTCATTATTCTTACAGTATTTCTTAATTTCTTGCGATTCCTTTCCCACAATTTCTCAAAAGTTACTTTGTTTAACACTGCAATTTCCTTAATTGAAAGTTTTTTTCAGGTTAGTCGTAGATAAACTCGACGGCTTTTGCGCGTAAGCTTAGCTTGGCTTGGGAGTCGAGTATTGCGCTAGATTAGCGGCGAAAAAACCCACGCAAAAAAATTCCAGGCGCTGGACGTGGTTTAAACTTTTGTTAGTTTTTTTTATAAACCACAATTTTATGCATAAGCTCCAACGACTCAAGGACACAGATGGACCCGATCGCATGCTTGTTCGGCTGGCCAACCTTGCTCCATCAGCGGGCGCAGTTCAGCGAATTTCTAAATTCAGAAAAATCTTTTTTTCTTCTCTTCTTGACTTGGCTTTCTATTCTGAGCTACTTTTGCAACATTTAAAAAGGGTGTAGGACTTTAACAATTTAAAAAATCAGGGGGTTTGGACTCACTCTGGTCAACGTCCTCTTGCACTCTGTCCAATGCTCTTCAGAATGTTGGCAAACGTTCGTGATTTCATCTATCCAGGAGGTTCTCGGGAGGGAGGAGCATTGCTGGAAAATTATTGGCTTTTCGCTCTCTCACTCTCTCGCTCACTCTCTCTCTCTCTGTCTCTCTGTCTCTCACTTGCTTACCCGAACGTACGCCTGACACACTCCGCACATGAATACGCCGGAGTTGACGGTGGAAATGAGTACGGTGAGAAGCAAGAAGAGGAAGCGCATTTTAGCCCGTCAAAAAATAGACTTCTGGCCAGGGCAATGAGATTTTTATACCGCGGGGGAAGAGATTTGCAGCATCGATTTTATAAAAATAATCTTTTCGTTGTCATGTAGTGATTCTAAAAATAGTGTTCAATAAGAGGTTCTTGGTCTGAATTTATGATAGGTTTTATCCGGACATATTTTTTACAGCTTCAGTTCTCGCACTTGTTCTCTCTCTCTCTCTCTCTCTCTCTCTCTCTCTTTCTCTCTCTCTCTCTCGCTCTTTCTCTCTGTCTCTCTCGCTAGCTCCTTCTCCCTTTCTCTAGTTCTCTCTCCCCTTTTAATTTCATTTTCTGCACGTTTTAGAATTTTAGAAAGTTAAAGAAAGAAACCAAGCCTTTATTCAGGAATTTTTGTAGGCAAGCCGCATAAGCCAAGTAAATATCTTGATTATGAATATCTTTAGGCTGCGGTCGTGGAGGCTGTGCTGCTGCTGGAGGCCGTGCTCGAGGAGGAGGCCGTGCTAGCCGTGCTGCCGGTGGAGCTCGAGCTGGCGGTGGACGCAGTGGAGGCGGCTGAAAAAAAAATTATCCAAATTTTATTGGAAGATCCGTAAAGAATCTCTGCTAGCTGGCCCGCTCGTCTCAATTTGAGTAGAAAATGGTCATTTTTAGTCGAAAAATCGAGATGTGTTACGTTTGTGTTTCGTTTTCCACATAAATACCCCCCCCCCCCCGATAATGCCAAAGAACCGCAAATCCTACCCGTCGTGGCTCCGCACAGGCTGCAGCTGTTCGGGCAGTAGGCTTCTCTCTAAAAACCGGAAGTTGCCCTGAGTGAGGTTTCAGCAAACCTGAGCAGTGGTGTAGGCGCTGTTGCTGCAGAATCCGTTGGCTACCCAGGCGGCGCAGTTCGAGTTGTCCGTACAGCTCGAAGACGTCGTCGCCGAGCAGAGGCTGCCTGGAATTTTTGCCTTAGGTGACTCTATTAACGCGCGGATGTAAAAACCGACCACGCAGATTCTTCTATAGATTCCAAAGCTTGCCGAGGCATTTAAACCCAAATTTTTGGGATTTTTAAGCTTACAAGAGTATGCGCAGTACGACAAGCGCTCGGCGTATGTGTAGAAGCTGTTGGTGCAGAAGCCATTGGCCACCCAGTTGGAGCACCTGAAAACGAAGATTTATAAATCCTTAAAGGGGCTCAGAAGTCAAAATTCGTGCGTGCGGGGATTGAACCTACGGGTCAGAAAACTAAAGGGTCACTGCCGAGAAGTGCCAAAAAGTCATATGATTGCGAAAAAAACGTAAAATGTTTGAGAAAAACCGAATTCTTTTTGGGCGAAAACGACATATTGAGTGCGCGGCGATTCCATGTCGTAATGACTTGTAAGGCACCCAATCTCATGATCTCGGTGATTCTCCAATCAATTTTCATAATTTAAAAGTCTGGAAAGATCAAAATTCGTTGAGGATTCCAAAAATAGTATCAGATTTTTAAATTAAAGCGTTTTCGCGTCCAAACAGGGACTAGAGAACATGCGGCGCGGTCGCGTTGCGGCCGCATCTGGCTATTTGCCAGGAATCACAGCAGGGGGCCGTGGACCAGATTTCGGAACCCCTTTAAGTATCTCTGGAGTGGGCAGTTTAGCAGAGATTCTTTGGGAATCTACAAATTCGAGATTTTCGGTAGCAGAGCTTCTTTGGGGTCGGCAGAAACAGCTTAAGATTGGCTGATTAACTGGAAACTTACTCCGAATAGCTGTCCGAGCATGCGTCAACGGCGAGGAGGGCTACAATTTGGCTCAACGACCGTAGCCAGAATTAACTTACCACAAGCCAGAGCAGCCACAAGCTTCAGCATCTTCTAAGCGGCAAGCACAAGCCTCAAAATAGTGAGGATTCAGAATCCTTGCATCCTTTTATACCAAAAATTCCTTCGAATTTCGCGCAAATTTGCGTAGCCCCATGGTGATGATGGTGTTGGTGATCAGGCTCAGGTTCTGTCGAGAGAAAGAAAAAGATAGAGAAGCAGAGAGAGAGAGAGAAAGAGAGAGAGTGAGAGAGAGAAAGTCGGTTCATTGTCTCCACCCAAAAACACGACTCCAACTTGTTTAGCTTCAAGTTGAGCCAAAACGGGCTTGTCCCGCCGGGAAGCTGCTCAAATAGTGCATGCACCGGATCCGCGACGCTTGTTCGGATGGTCGTCTGGGCCCCAAAAAAGGCTCTCCTCCTCATAAAGCTGTAGCCAGTCGTTTTGGTGTTTCGATGAAGCCGGTGGAAAAGATGAGCAAGGAGCGAAATATGGATTTTGCAGGGCGAACCAGCTTGCGACGAAGCGGAAGTGTTTCGGAGATTGTAAAAGGACTAGAAAGACAATAATCGACACGCTTTGGTTTTAGATGCCTATACAACCATCCTGACATACCTACACTGCAGAAAAAAGCCGATTTCACCCGATAAAATTAAAAAATGAGGACATAAACGCATTTTTAGAGGCGTTCGGCAGTGTATCTACTATCCTTGTACGTAAGCTTGCAACGATCGTACTGCGATTTGTAGCGCCCCGTATTCGCTAGTACGGTCGCAACACGTTGCGCAACGCAGCCACAAACTGCCAGGTATCTTAAAATAGGGATTAAGCTCGTACGATAACCTGAATCCAACCGTTGAGATGTGCTGTCGCAACGTAATGTAGATATTCCAATGTTCTACATATTTGAGGTAAATAAATTTTGACAAAAAGAAAATGAAAGTGAAATTTATCGAAAATAACATGCACAAAATGCAGCTCAACGGACGGAATTTCGGCTCCCTGGTAGCAAACTTACTAGTACCCCTGTTCTGACCATTTTTACGTCCGGATACGCAATTCGAATTCCTCCATGTCTCAACCCAAGTTTCGAGACATGCACCTGCTGCCCGATTCTCCCACCATTGTCCGCCCGAAAAACCCGAGTTTTTCAGTCGGAATGGCGCACCATTCGCAACGGCACAAAAACAGTTATGCGCATTGTGAGGGGCGAACGGGCGGGTGTGCGAGAGAGAGCGAGAGAGCGAGAGAAAGAGAGGGAGAGAGGAACAAAGAGAGTGTATCGGAGAACGAAGACGGTCGATTGATATTTGCATACGTCTCTCCGTTCGCCGTCTCGGAACGGGCGGCGTTGACGCATCGTTTCCGGACCGTATAGCGTTATCTGAACTCAGTCGGTTTCCAACAGAAATAGATTAAATTGACGTTTTAATCCCTAAAGAACTCCGGTGAAAAAATTCTTTTTTAAATTTAAATTATCAAATTCGGGCGTTAATGTTCAGCTTCTTTCAAAATTTTTCTTTTTTCCTTTGAAATTTTACTGTCTCTCGCTCTCACTCTCCTTCTGCACAGAGGTATATTTTCGGCTTCAGTACGATTTTTGGCGAGCCCGCAAAGATTCTTGGGGAAAATCCGGGTCTCGAAAACAAGTTTTCCAACCGGATTGTTTACTTTTCTCACGCCTCTGCCTGGCCGAAATCGGAAATCGGAAATGCAAAGAGCTTGGGGAGTCAAAAAATCACCCGATTTGAATTTGGCATATCCCTCGCTGTCTCTCTCTCTCTCTCTCTCTCTTTTTCTCTCTCTATCTCTTTCTATCTCTCTGTCTCTCTCTCCTTAAGACCACGAAATTACTACCCTCGAGCTCGTGCTCACTGGCCAGTTGGACCTCCCCGTCCCCTTGATCGTCGTTATCCGTCAAAGTGCCTTCTTTTCAAGCCATTTCCCCCATGGGGTGGGTCCTAAGAAGTGGCCAATCTGGCGGTTGTGAGGAGGGCCAACTGCTCATCCTCCTTTCGGGTTGTCCATCCCTGACCAGGCTGTTTTCACCCCCCATCGCTTTTGACCGAAATGAAGTACCGATCCCCTTGCCCTGTCAACTCGGCTCGGGTTTCAGCCCACACCTATATATCTTTTCTGACCGTAGATATCCCTTTCGAAGTGTTTTTTACCTAAATATTGACAGTGAAAATGCCGACAAATACGGATCGCGGCAGCTAATGTCGGGCCGGATAAGAATGCCGACAACCAAAATGCCGATAGTCGGAAAAATGCGTAAAATTCATAGTTGATCTCGTCGGTATTTTGGCGTTATGGATCATGGCTGTCGGGATTTCGGATGTCCGAGTTTTCCTTGTCAGGATTTTGAATGTCGGTTTATCGTGTCGGCGTTCGTTTGCCTTGCCGCGATTTTGGCTGTCGATATTTTATCGTGGCAGCATGTTGTTGCTGTCGCTCTTTTTGATAGCCGGGATGAATCTGTCGGTATTTTCAGTGTGGATTGTGGCTTTCATGTCGGTATCATGGCTGTCGGTATTTTGGCCTGTCGGTATTTTATCATTTCTGGATTTTTCTGTGGGTGTTTGCCGATTGATTCGGCGGCAATTTCCCTAGTTGCAAGCTATTTTCCACATCTCACGAGCAGCTCCTAACCACACCAGTATTTCTGAGCCGACTAGCCAGAGGGTAGCCAAGAAGGGGGCTAATCTCCCGCCGATCGAGTTCTGCCCCCGGACCTTCGGATCCGCCCAGGTGGACAGGTGTATGTCAAATTTTACTCCGTGCGCATAGAAGCGGTCGTCTGGAGCTCATTTTTGCTGGCGTAAATCGATTTCCTAAATGGGCTTTGCTAGCCAGATTCCCCATTTTTTAGTTATTTGTATCTCTCACACGCTCTCCCTTCCTCCTCTCTCTCTCTCTCTCTCTCTCTCTCTCTCTCTCTCTCTCTCCTCTCTCTGTCCCGCTCCCTCGCTCTCTCTTTATCTCCCTTCTCTCTATCTCTATCTCTCACGCTCTCTCACTTTCTCACTCTGTCGCTCTGACAGTCGTTCTCCCCTTCTCCCTCTCTCACTCTCTCTCTCTCTCTCTCTCTCTCTCTCTCTCACTCTCTGTCTCTCTCTCTTTCTCTTTCTTTCTATCATATTTAAATAATACCGGTCTTCAATACCTTATTTTCGAAAACCATTCCCCAATAATCTCCACTAGCTAGT